AAAGATTTTATGATGAGATAATATAAATATATTTTTATACTTTTTATAATTTACCAAATACTTTACATGGTGAAATTTGATACATAGAATATGCAAGTAATACTACTTTAATACGAGTCATAAGTGAATCCTTTGACATTTTTGTTTCAATTTTTTAATATAATGCCTCTAAGAAAAATAATAGAAGTTGATAACTATCTAATGTAATAGTTCAAAAGTTGTCTTGGCTATAGTAATTTGGATGGTTGTGTGCAGTGGGAATTAAGATCCTGTGTTAAGGAATGTGGTGTAGTTATAGTGGTTAGAGAGGTTACAGCTGCAGTTGTTGGGGGTTTGAACAAAAAGTTGGCCTTGGCTAAGGTGAAGTGTGTTCTTTGTTGGAGTAGTTCTAGTTTGGTTTCTGTTCCCTCGGATGTAATGATTTTTGTGATCATTACTCTTGATTGTTGTTATCTAAAGCAGGCGCCCAAACTTTGTTTTGGGGTTTCTCGAGCCTCGACGTTGTCAAAGCTTTCTTGCCAACAAGGAAATCTATTGATTGGAAGGTCACTAGTTCAAGTGACTCGTTTGGCGACCTTACTTGGTGATGAGTCGATCCCGCCAGGTAAGGATTTGCTAGCCATGGTCAAACAGTTTCGATCCCCTCCGTTGCTCTCTTTATGGAATGTAGTATGTTTTTGCTCCTTGGTTTGTAAGCAGTCCCTAATCTGCAACTTATCCGGTCAATTCAAGTTTATTTTCGTTTGTAGCCTCAAAAGTTGTTGTAACGGCTTAAGTGATAAAAGCCATATTTTAAGTTTTAGTTCTTATCCTGTAGGTTGTAAACTCTGATTTTATGAATGCATTTGCTCTTGTAAAAAAAAAAAAAATAGTTCAAAAGTAAGGAAAAAAAAAGAAGATAAAAACATTCAATAACATATTCATTTCTAAATCTCAATTCAATACTAAGAACTTTCAAAGAGAAAATACTTACCTTACCAAGAATTGAATCAGTATTTTCATTACGCATGTAAAAGAAAAATAAAATACTACGAATAGGTTGTACTAGAATGGGTACGGGATCGAGTACGGGCACAAAGAGGGGTACGCAATAAGGTTTCTTAAAAAAACATATTTTATAAAATCTTCAATAGTATTTGATAATTTTTTCTTTATACGATGTAAATTTTAAGAAAACAAAAAATCATTCAAAAATTCCTCAAATTTAATAAATTTAAAGCAAAGTTTTAAAAAAATTATTTTAAAATATACTAAAACTATATATCAATGTACTTAGTACCCATAAGGACACTGGTGCATATTGCGAGTTCGATACGGGTATGATGACCATTACCCACGGGTACGGAATCGAGTACGGACACAAAACGAGTATACAATATTGTTACTTGAAAAATAGAGGATACGGGTATGGCTAATTAAGTATGGTACAATATATTCTGTAAATAAATACTTTAATAAAATTAACAGTATTATTTGAAAAAATTTACTTTATACAAAGTACGGAGTATATTTTAAGAAGACAAAAAAATCATTCAAAAATTTGTAAATGTCATAAACATTTTTTTTATATCTATTTCTAAACTTTTTTATTCAACATTAAATTATATTTACAACATGGGGTACTGTAATAAAATGGGTACACTTTATTAGTTTATTGTAATGAATAATAAATTAATGTAAAGTATTTCACTATTATGCATTAAGCTTACCTTAGTTAATTTTGTGAGATTTGATACTTAGAGCTTTTAAAATCGTGCAATTGCACGGGTACTATACTAGTAATATAACTAAACCCATGGAATTAGGTGGTTTAGGGATTAGAAGGTTGAGGCCTTGGAATCTTGCCTTTATGGCTAAGTTAGGATGGACTATACTTAATAATCCTTCTAAATTATGGGTGAGAATTTTTAATGAAAAATATTTACATAGGAATGCATTTTTTGATTGTGTTCCTAGTGCCTCTCATTCCCAAATTTAGAAGAATATCTTGAAAGGAAGACATCTTCTGGCTTCGGGTTTAAGGGTTGGAATAGGCAATGGTAAGTGTACCTCATTGTGGTATCATCACTGGGTTAGTACTAGTCCTTTATACACTCTTATTAACACTCAAGTTCCATCTTCAAAGGAACATTGGAATGTTGCAAACATTATAAGAAACGGGAAATGGTTTCTAGATGATATTAGCTCGGTTATTCCTGATCATATTAAGCTTTTGATATGATATTGGCAACTCCTGTTTCTAAATCTCCAGAGTTTGATGATTTCATTACTTGGGATCTTACTAAGAATGGAGCTTTTTCAATAAAATCAGCTTATCATTTACTGTTGAGGGGTATCTGCACCCTTTCAACAGGAGTGAAGTCATGGAAGCATTTGTGGAAAATACAAGTCCCTTTTAAGTATAGAATGTTTTTATGGAATTGTGCTCATTTCATTCTGCCAGTGGCTGAATCATTAGCTATTCGAATGCCTTTAATCTCTCCTATTTGCTCAAGGAGAAATCTATTTTTTGAATCTCATATACAACTTTTCCGGGACTGTTTCTCTTCATCAATTTTATGGAATGATATATTTGCTAGAGTTTGTACTCCACCTGGTTTCAATTTTTATCTTTTCAAGAATGCTAATTTTAAGGATTGGATGAACTACAACTTGGGATTAAATCAAGGGTGGAGGGTTATCCTTGTAACTGTCACATTATTTTCCAAAATGCCATTACGAGGAACAAAAGTGTTTCTCATAATGAGAAACTGGGGTTCCCTCATGGCATATTTGGGCTCATAGGAATCTTCTAATTTTTGAGCAAAAAACTATCTCACCTCTCTCTCTTTTTACTAAGTTTCTTGTGGATTATCAATTTACTAACTCTGTTTTCAAACAACAGCCTAGTGGTTGCGGTTCTTCAAGAGCTGCAGGTGCTGCTAACAATAAATGGAAGCCTCCACAAGAAGGATTTTACAAGATCAACTCTGATGGAGCTTGGATAAACAAGGATAATGCCGCTGGAGGTGGAGTAATTAGGCGTACTGATGGTACCTGGTTGGTTTTTTTTGCAAATATAACGCAATATCTCCCCTGGCAGCTGAGCTATATGCGATCAATGAAGGATTGGCTATTGCAGAGGATATGAAGCTGAAAAAGGTGGAGATAGAGACGGATGCCTGAGTCTCTTCGCACCATGCTCAACACTTCTGGTCCTAACCCCCACCATGAGTTGGCTGCAGCTGCCTATGATGTTGCAAAGCTTTTGAAGAAGTTTGAGGCTGCCATTATCATCCATATTCCAAGAGAAAGGAATGAGTTGGCTCATAAACTTGCTGTTCATGGAAGAGACATGGCAGTTGGATACAAAACTCATTTTCTAGTTCCAGCTTGTGTTGAGAATATTTATCAAAGGGAATTGGAGGAAGCAGCTGCTGCTATGCAAAACTAAGCAAGTTCAGGTTCTTAGTTGTGTATGGAATATGGATCATCACTCTTGGGGTACTTGTGGTATATGCTTTTGGTTTTACTTTTGATCTTGGGCTGTGTCCCTTGAACGGTAGTAATGGTCATTATGTAGGCCTATTTTTGTACAGCATCAATTTTCAACTTGTATATAGTATGATGCTTGATGTATATATGAACAAGGCTTTAGCCTTTAATTAATAATATTATCTGTTTTATGTTAAAGAAAGATTCACCAAGTAGTTTTGGGGAAAAAAGCTCACACATAAAATCACATTCACACCTCAAAAAAATTTTAAAAAAATTACAGACTAACAAGTCTATAGAAATCAAACCAAGAAATCAAATGAGATCTTTTGTTAATGGTTTTCAAAATTAAATTTTTTTTTTTTTTTTTGTTAATTTTGTTAATGGTTTTCAAAAAATTTAAAAAAAATTAAAAGACTAACAAGTCTATAGAAATCAAACAAGTCTATAAAATCAAACCAAAAAAGTAATTAAATAATTTTTTTTTGTTAATTTTTTTTGTTACTGCATGGGTTTCAAAATAAATATGATTGGTATGTATAAGAAAGAGTTTTTAAATTTCGATCGTTAAACAGATACTATATGATCAATTTAATGCGTAATCGAATACGAAAAGATGCTAACGTACGTATGTAACTAAACAATTAAGTTAGTAGTTGTGTCACAACTACTAACTTAATTGTTTAGTTACATACGTACGTTAGCATCTTTTCGTATTCGATTACGCCATATATATAATTCAACACCAAGCTTAAGAGAATTGAATCATGTAGTCACAAACCTTGCCCATAACCGCGTGTTACGATCCTGACTGAGTGATTAAGGTTGTATTTGGTAGGGAGAATAGTTCAATCCCCTGCAACAACAATTGAGGGGACTGGAACCTAATCACCCAGAACTGAACCCCAAATCTGAATTAGCCCAAAGGGTGAATTGGGTGGAACACCCAAAAAAAAAATATATATATATATATATACCTTGCCCATAACCTTTATTTCAACAAGCCTTGTAAGCTTGTACTCATAGTATTCTACTATTCTCAAGTACTCAGCTCCCATGACCCTCATTTAGTGCATCAACATCATTCTAATAAAGAAAGCAATTAGGAAGCAAGGTTGGACTTTTAGCTATTTGAAAAATGACCTTTGCTAAAGTTAGTTCAAAAACTCACCAACTTCGCTAGAAAAAGTCATACCAGAGTAGAACATAAAGCAACCACATGCACAAGATAGCAAATCATCATATTATTGCAAAGAGGGAAAAGCACACTTTGGCATAGCTACACAAGATTCATAATTAGAAATTGTGTCCTTTTTAAAAAAATTATAAATGAGTAATTATGAAATTATCAATTTTGAAATGAAATTGTCTAAGCTCATACCTGATTAACTTTTACAGAAAAAATAAACATTACATGCACGTGGGATTTGATGACCATGATGTATTGCACTAGAAAAAAAGAAAATAATTCAACATATAATTAAGTGTTAGTGAAATAGCAATTTAGTTGGTTGTACACTTGTATGTATAGAAATCTGTCTATTATCATTAAGTAATTGTTACAATCGATCAACTCAAGTACAATATATATTCATATAATTCAATTCCAAAACCCCATTTTCTTTTTAACAATTTTGAAAGGGTTTTTTGTACAAGTGTAATCGCTTTGTAGAAAACCTTCTATTCAAGGATGATCCTCTCTTTTAAAAGCATAACTTACTAGATTTGAACTATAATAGTAATTCAAGTTGTAGAAGAGATGATGGCATATAGATTATGTTTTATCAACCATTTTGCCATAAGTTGATAAGTATGTTGAGTCAAATGTATTCCATCCCAAAAGATGCTTTCGTTAGGATGTTCACATACAACAACCCCATCACTTCCACACATTCTCTTCATATCAAAATTGAATTCGTTGTTGCCAATACCACAACATACCTTTTGAGTTGCATCTTTATCAAAACCTACACAAAAACAATTACAATTTAGTTTGTTTGATAAATAATAGCAATTTACATGCAAGTTTGTAAATAAAAGAATGTGACAATATATTATGCCAACGATAATCCTAGGTTTTTGTTTTTGTTTTTTGTTTTTTGATTTTTTTTTAAAAAAAATTTTAAAATTTTTTATAAAAATTTTCTTTTTTTTATATTTTTCTTAATTATCCCCCCCCCCCTAATTTCAATACCACTCAAAGAGATAGAAATTTGAAGGAAAAGTTCGACAATGAAATTTCATTACCATGAACTTTAAAATGTATACAAAGTTACAAATTGCACCTAAAGTTCATTCCATTATTGTTAGGAATTATCACCAATCAAACATGCAATAATGAAATCTCTTTATTTATTTATTTTTTTTATTTTTATTTTTAAATATCATCATATACTATACAAAGTGATTCAATTTATAAGAAGCACATAAACTTACCTAGAGAAATTGCATGCTTGAGAATTTCTTTGAAAGCTGAGAAATAGTCTGCGTACACAATTGTGACATGTGGGTGATCTTTTTGAAGTTCTCGAATAGCTTGTTTCAGTTTTTTGTTATGAAATTTTGCAAACTGATTAAAGTTTTTTAGACATTGGAGTTCATCATACATTCTTGAGTCATTTGTTTTATACAATGCACGATAAACAGCCAAGCAACCCATAGGAAAATTTCCTGGAACAATTATTTGAATGACACCAAGATTAATAACTTCCTGCATGAACAACACAAATTAACATATTACATATATAATTAATTAGTATTTAACATCTCTATGAATTAAAACTTCCAAAGGTTTGAGGAGACATTCACCTTGACACTATATTTTATAATTTGAACAACTTCGGGCACCATTTTATACACTTTTGAAATATCTTTTCTTTGAAAGAATTCCCAATTATAGTCATTTCCTCCAATTTCGCCCATCACAATAAGTGAATCTGCAAGTTTTTCTTTGCACTCTGCATTAAAAAAAAAAAATAGAATTAAGCAATAACATTAGGTTAGGAGTTTCATGTTTGTCAATGCACATTTTATATTTTGAAAGTTTGTAATAAGACTAAATAAACAATTAAGATTCCACTACACATGACTATATATATCAAAGTAAAATGTGTGAATAATATAATACGATTCCAAATGTTAAGTAATTTTTTTTTTTTTAAAAAAAAAGTGAATATATTTTCATTGTTTCAACACACCGGCCTACACACAAGCAAGAACTCTTCATTCTTTGATAATCTAATAATATATGCAACAAAACTATGCAATCTTCAAGCTTTAATGAAAAAAATATATATATAAAAAAAAAAAAATTATTAATGAGACTATGGTATGGGATAAGTATGTTTAACATTATGTACCTGATTCAGTAGAGCAAACAGATTTAAGATGAGACTTAAACCAATCGAGTTGCACAAGTAAAGAACTGTTGGTGACATTTGATGTAACAATATTTTTCATTGCGAAAGTTGAAACATTGAGTGCAGGAGCTCCAGCAACAGCAAAGTTTACCCCATGACTAAAATTACCGTCTTTGTTAAGGTATGGATCGAGGAATGGCATGTTGAAGAACTTGGCTGCATCGATTACAACCAATAAACAATGGTAAGGATTGAAAACTCATGGAGGAAAAAGAAACGAGAGTGTATGATTTCATGTCACACTAATCTTGTTTCAAAATATATCGCGCCAATTTAACTTAGTGATGGCTTTGGTAGCATAATGTTAATACTCGTCGTGCAATAGTTAGGAGGATCTTTCAATCCTACTCCTAAGTATTGCACGAGTTCTAACCTTGTTACTTACTTATATATTATAATCAAATAGTTTTAAACCTTAAAATAATTTTAAAACTCTTATATATGAGTACTTGAAAATTGAGATCAAGTAAAGCGAGCTTACTGAAATAGTCAATCATAAGAAGTCCATCAGAAGGACGACCCGTTGGTGTATGGAAGAAAGTTAGCCCATATGGTAGCTTTGCATACTTGAAAAGAGGATTTTCATGTATCAAATTTCCCGTATCAGAAACCGAATTTCCAAACTGATATATGGCTTTGATAGATGTTCTTTAAAAATGCAAGCATTACATAAGAAAGTCATCAAAAAATAGGAGTACAAATCAAAACAACAATCAATAATATAATCAACTACTACATAGTTAGGTTTTAAAAAAAAAATTACGTGATAATTAAATTTACCATATCATTATTTTTTAAATTACGTGATAATTAAATTGGTAACAAATTCAACGGCACACACTTTTTGGTTAGTGTTGCACATATACTATACTACAATATATTTATTACTAGGTTAGCCCCGTGCAATACACGGTTTTAACATAAGAAATAAATTACACACTAAAGGGAAAATGATAATATAAATAAATAAATAAATAAGGCTAAGAATTGAGTAAATAGAGCAGATTGAAATACACAGTAAAATTTAAAGAAATGAGAGAATGGAAATCATTGCTATCCAAGGTAGGGATGACATCAGCGGTTGTTATTTTAGTACAGCGTATTATTTATAGATTTATTTATTGAATAAACTACACAATTTCATCTTTATTTATTCCTTTGTACTTTTTTCAAGCATCATTTATTGCTTGATTGATATATAATTTTGTAAAATTTAAATAACCTCCAATTTAATTAATTTTTCCCATCATATATATCCAACCTATATACTACGTAATAAAATGATGTAAAACACTTATAGAGATAAATTTATATGTCGTCAATTATTAAATTAAATAAATACAAATATATCACCATTGATTAAAAATAGGACAATATATTTATATATCGTATACTACAAAATATGAAGTATATGAGAATCAAGGAACCATCCCTCCATCTCCCCCGGTGTGACCGGGATTTGATCCTCAGCCTAAGCACCCCTCCTGTGATAGGAGGGGCACCCCGTATCTTACTGTGAAAATATATATATATATATATTCGTTAATTCATTTCTCAAATGATTAAACTAAAAACACGCAAAAATAATTACTTGTATATGAATAGAGAAATAAGAACCTGGGGAAAATGGAAGCATCTTCATGATCATGGATATCGTCAACGATGGAGAAAGCATCAGTGGATTGAAACTCTGGTGGACCGTCCGATACAATTCTTAAAGGATTGTTTTCAGTGAAGGTGGATGATAAGGATACCACTGCGAAGCAGAGGATCAAGGCTGCTACTAAGGAGAATATTTGAGCACCCATTTTTATTTTTATTTTGGTGAAATACTATTATTGGAGAAGATAAAGCATATGTTAATTTTAAAAATGGAGTAATATATAATTAAATAAATAGACTATGTAAAAGATGTTGAACATATTTTGAATTAGTAAAAGAAAAATATTCCAAAGTTTCCAACCATAAGTTTTAATTGGTGGGGACACTGGATTTATTGAGAAGTCACAAAAAATACAGTACAAATAATTGTATGTATTAAGTTTTGACAACAAATGCACTTTTTTATTACAAGGGTTGGTGCTCGATTTTGCCTCTTGATTATGACAGGAATGGTTAGAAATGATTTGATGGCTTTGGAAATTTGTATATTTTCAACATTAATTGTAGTCCAACATGATAAACATGATAAAATGTTAAGCATTTTTCGTCCATATACTCGTTCGGTCCCATTGTCGTCCTTTTTTGGAAAATCAGTTGCTGAGATATCCACCCTTTAATTTTTCTAACTTTTTTTTTTTTTTTTTTTTTGGAATTTTTGAAACCATTTTTTTAACTGTTAGGCCATGTTCAGTTGTTCACTACACTTTAAAAAAAAATAATTTAATATTTAGTAAAAATAATTTTAGTTCAGTAAACTTAAGTTTAGTTTAGTAAAAATAATTTTAGTTCCGTAAATATCAGTAACTTTGAAGAAATATAATAGAGAATTAATAAAAATAATTTCAGTTCAGCAAAAATAATTTCACTACAGTAAAATTAATTTCGGTTCAGCAAAAATAAGGTGAAGTGAATAGGGTCTTACACTTATTGGCCTTTTTTTTTTATATCATTATATTTTCTCTATTCAACTACTGTACCTATTTTTAAATATTATATCTTTCTTCTTTTATGGTCTTCATTCTCCATTTCAACACACTGCTATATATGAACTTTAATTATTCATTTTCTCTTCTCACCTTCCTTATTTTTAATAATTATTATTTTAATTATTTTTTCAATTATACCTCATCTAGGTGGGGATAATTTGAAGGTATATGTTGGTGGTAGGTGGGTGTGGATTTTATGATTACCCACCCCGCCATGGTTAGATAGAGAAATTTGGTGATATTAGATGTATAAATGTATTAGATGTGAATATATGGTGTAAGCCCTTAAACATGGAAAATTTTAAGGGACAACTCAAAAGTGAAGTTGGGGTATGGAATAGAGAAGTATGTTACTATTTTTTTTCCAAATAATATGATCAAGCTGTAATCTGGTATGGGATAGAGAAAGTATATACTTTAATTAATATCATTTCTGCATTCATTCAAACGTTTTTCAGCTCTTTGGTGCAAAAAAAAAAAAAAAAAAAAAGCTGTTAAATTTGAGCTTAAAAAGTCAGCAATGATTAGGAAAATTATGGACTTTGTGTGGTGCACTTCTTTCTGTATTATGGACCTTTTTTTTCAAAGATCTCAATTAAATCTATTTAAGATTAAAGACATATCTTCGATGTCATTAAAAGCAAAGAGAATAACAACTTTTTTTTTTGGGTGAAGGAGAGAGGCAAGCCCCAAAAGATAAACAAAAGCAATAAAGAAATATAAGACAATGAAAGCAAAAATAACTACTAAACTACTAACCAGCTAGGTAGTAGTCTTGGGAACAAGACAAGGCCAAGCCACCCCCTCGAAGGTCCTCCAATAAAACAGCACGAAGGTCGCCCGGGACCGCCTTAAGTAAAACCAATCGTTGTGACGAAGATAATCCATGATTTGCTAGCCAGTCCACTGCTCTATATGCTTCCCGGTAAAAGGTAACAATGAGAAAATCTCACATCCCAACCATCTCGACTCACTAACGCTATGCACTTCCGTATGATATGAATATAAGGAGAGGTAGAGGGACATTCCTCCACCAAAAGACGAATCACCACCTCAGAGTCTACCGTAACCAACACCTTTCTAAAGCCCCCATTCCAAGCCATAGCCAACCCACGCATAACTGCTAACAGCTTGTAGAGGAACACACTCCACAATTCATAGCAAACATAGTGTGGACTGCACCATCATGCCCTGCTATGATCCCTCCAAGACCTGGATTCCCCTTAGTAGCCCCATCTGTATTAAGTTTCACCCATCCCATGCGTGGGAGCTCCCAACGAACAAAAATTCCTTTCCTCTTGCACTTCCTATTACTTTCGTCCACCACATCCTTCTCCAATGCCCTTACGATTTCCCCAACTCTAGCAAAGATGAAAATATTCTGGTTAATGGGGATGTTAGGCTCATTATTAAAGCACCGCTCATTACGCCATCACCACAACCACCATACTGTAGTTGCAAAAACAATAGGCCACTCTTCCTCTTGGTTCTTATGACCCTCTCCTAAATTGCTCAACAATCAGTCCCTAAAAGACTTGCCCTATTCGAAAATAACTTCCCCTTTTCCAAAGTTTTGCCATACAATTTTCGCAGCTAGGCAAGTTCTAATAATATGCTCCGTATTTTCTTCCACATAACTACACGCAAAGCACCTGGGATCATCTGTCAATTTTCTAACAAATTGATTAAAATTAGTCATAATTCTATCATGAATTGCTAGCCATAGGAAGAACCTGATACGTTAAGGCACTCGCACACTCCAGATATCCTTCCACCCCTGAACTTGACTCGTATTCAATAGTGAAGAGTCCCTCGCAATAATGTTAATAGTAGATCAAATGCTAAATTTACCAGACGGATTACCATTCCTGAAGACTTAATCAATAGCCTCATCATCCTCAAATACTTCATGTGAAGCAATCTCACAAACAATATCAGGGCTCAAAAAATCTGTAAACAGGTTAAGCTGCCAACCAGAATTTACATCCCATACCACCCTAACAATCATTTCCTGAACACTACTAGGAGGTTTCAGGTTAGCCAATTCAATTAGAGGGGTTTTATTCACCCACCTAATGCATCCAAAAAATGGTAGCATCACCATTACCCACTACCATACTTACCCCTTTTTGAACCGTATCCATGTTCTCTACAATTCCGCGCCAAGCATTCGATGCATCCACTCTAGCTTTAAACATATTCACATCGCACCTCCCCTCACAGTATTTAGCCCGAATCACCCTCGACCATAAGCTATTAGGCTCTGCCAACAATCTCCACCCTAACTTAGCTAGAAAAGCCGCATTCGACTGTCTCATAGAACGAAATCCAAGTCCTCCTTCGCTCTTTGGTTTTTTAATGTTTTCCCAAACAACCATATGCACTTTTCTCTTATCTTCCGTATCACACGACAAAAAATTCCTTGCCTTCCTATTAATATCATCACATGTTGATCTAGGTAATTTGGTGGATTACATAGCATAAGTTGGCACGATCAAAAGTAGAGAAGATTGGATCAAATAAAGTTGCCCTTCTAGCCATCGATATCATCTTAGATTTCCACCGAGCAAGCTTATTATTGATCCTATCAACTAAATACTGATATTCCCTTTTAGAAGACCGGCCATTAATCGTAGGAACTCCCAAATAAGTTCCTAAATCTTCAGTTGCATCCATCTGATCTCCAAGGTGTTACAAATCACATCCCTAAAATTAAAATTAGTATTTGGAGAAAAGTAAATTCTCGACTTCTCCACTCTAACATTTCTGCGAGACGCTTTACAGAACCGATCTAAACACTCCTTCATGACTAGAGCTTGATCATCCGAAGCTTCGCAAAAAAGAATTATGTCATTGTAGGCGTCATTCGAAGCGCGCCTACTTAAGCATGTTGTGAATATGCTTGGCAACTTAGGGATAAAGAAAGTAGGGAGTTTCCAACAAGTTTTTAAGGAACTTGTAAACCGTTCACAGATCATTTAAGTCAACCACGATAAAGTGTTGAAGCTTAAGAGTTTTGAGGATGATTAATAAAAGCAAACTTCAACTAATGCGATTTCTCTAAGTGTTTGATTAGAATAGGTGAAGTTGATTTTGGAAGTGGAAGATTAACTTATTTATGAAGACTCAAGGAGATCTAAAGGAAAGTTAAAGAAAGTAGAAGAAGAGTTCCTCACCGGATTTAGCTGTGATCCCTAACAGGAACACGGAGAGAAGTTCCCTAACAGGAGCTTAACAGCAAGCTAAGCAGATCAGTTTGGACTGCGTCGAAGACAACAAGTTCCACAAGAACTTGGATTAAGAGTTCCAGAACGGAGGTAGAGATTTGAAGACAGCAGGAACTTAAATTAGTCCTGGTCTGCGTGAAGCCCAAGTATCCTTATAATACAGCGATTGATGAGACAGTCCAGCTATAGTATAAAAGTCTTTTTGTTAAGTTTATTTTACTAAGGATTGCTGTAAATATGTTAGGTAAGATTATCCATGGAATCTATTAGAAGCGTGGCAAAACTTGGCAAGCTATTAATAATGGAAAGTTTATAAAAGATAAATTTTAATTTTAGAAAAGATTTTAGAGAGATTTTATCTTATAAAATCTGGTTTTACAAAATATTATTCTTTTCTAAAATTATATCTTTGTTAAGTTTTCTAAAAGATTTTCTTCTAAAAGATTTACTTAAGTGTTTGATTATGAAAACGGTAGTTTATTAATTTCTATCTTCTGAAAACCTTACTTTACATACGAGTACAACTTGTATATAAAGTAGAATTCATAATTTACACAAGGTGTGAGTTTATGCGTGAAAATCTAAAGAGTGCGAAAAGTGTAAGTTTGCCAAGTCTAAACTTTGTTATATTAGTTTCAGATTTCATGTGTAGCTTTCCAATCACATATTAGAGTCAAGAGTTTGATTTCTTTTGGTTTTGGTGTGAGTGTTTAGCATATTGCATACAGATTGTAGGCTTCAAGGTTGAAGCTGAGTGTGTGAGTACTCCGGGAGTGCTGAGTGAATCTAAGTCAGGGACTTAGGTTGGGTAGAATAGGGTTCTACTATGTAGCAAGTTCAATTAGGAACTTGTGAGTAAAGGTATGTGTTTAATAGGTTGTAACTAGGTGTGTTGCCCTATTATAGTGGATTGATTTGTGTGAAATCCCTTGGAGAGTCGAGGTTTTACTTCCAGTTGGGCACTGGAAGGTTTCCTCGCAAAATCTTGTGTGCTTTAATTTGCAAGTTCCTTTATTATTCTGTTTTAATTCCGCAAAA